TCTTTCAGATTTCTGTTTTGTTTTTAATGCCTTTTCTTAAAACCTTTTGCTTCTCTTATTTCAGATTGTCCTACTTTTGTTTATTCGCATTCTCAACCAATTGTTCTTTCTTATGTTTCTTTGCTGAGACCACCATGTAATCATTTCCCCCTCCCCTCTATTTTGTCATTTATTTCTGCAGTGAAGGGCATAAGTTTTGTTTTTCACAATTCTCAATTATCTTCTAAACTATTCAGGAACATCCTTCTCTGGTTCCATGTTCTCTTGGCCACCCACAGGTCCCTTTGCCTTATCTGATGGTCATTTCTTTTCTTTTGTCTTGAAATATTTTTCAAAAATGTTGGTACTCTCTTAGCTGATCTGGAGAACATTTTCCAGTCTATTATTAAAATATTTCTTGTTGGTTTATTTGCTTAGGCTCAAGGTCTTTGAATGAGTTTTCTTCCTTCTGAGATCAATGTTAATTTCTATCTTTCTTTTTCCTCTTTATATGCCCTTATTGTTCAATTTCTGACTCCTCTCTCTTTAATAACAGATTCCCTAGGGGCTAGACCTCAAAACCATCTCAGAACATTGTCCACATTGGGGAATTTACATTTCCCCAGCCTAAGGCTTTTTCCTAAATGACTTCTAGGGGAACAGAACTGGCCTCAGTTGATGTTGGCCCTTTTCTTTCAGGGTAAGGAGAATACCACATAGCCACCCACATATATCCTGCACCAGTTCTCTCTCTTTTGCTGTTCTCTAGCTAGTCTTTACTACAAAAGAGAGTCATACCGTGCTGCTGTTCCCACCAGGGCAAGATTCCTCACTTTTATTTTCTGTGGCATTGTGAGGAGGGGAAGTTGGAGCTGATTCTACTGAAATCTAATGCTTAGCTTATGCAGCCCTTCAGGCACTTGGTGGGCTCAGGGATGGGAAGGAGAATTGGGTGAGTGAATTAGGAGTTATGAATTAGCCTTTGCTGTTTGTTCTTAGAATTATTACCATGTTAGGGGACTTGGTATCCCATAACATGGAAGCAGCTGAAATTGCTTTACCTCTTGCCCTTATTTCCTATTTTAGAAGGGCTTGAAAGGTTGTGAAGGTTGAAGAAAATGTCTAGTCTATCATCTTATTGATCACCTGATATGGAGTAGAAAATAAAATTTTATATTCTTAGTCATGTCACTGTACAGCCCAGAGGTAAAGAATACCTCCTATGAAAGTAAGCCTGTCTTTTTCATTCTTTTTTCGTTGAATTTACCCTTCATGAATACATCAAAGGCAGAAGTGGAAAAAGCATTGGGCCTGGAGTCAGAAAGACCTGAATTCAGATTTGGTGTCAGAAATTTACTAGGTATGTGACCCTGGGCATGTCACTTAGCCTCTATTTGCCTCAATTTCCTCACTTAATTAAATGAAAATGATAGCACCTATATCCAAATTAATTACAAAGGACACATGAAGGAAGATGTTCTCTGCATCCAGAGAAAGAACTCATAAATTGAAATATGTATAGAATGATTTTACATACATTCACGCATACACACATATACATTACATTTACATACATACATACACACATGCATACACATATTTGTGTCTAATGGTAGCCATCTCTAAGGTAGGATAGGGGGAGGGAAGACAAATAAAAATTAAATTTACATGATAACTTTATTTTGTATTTAAATGGAAAAGAAAATTATACATAATAGATTTACAGTTTCGGGTGCAATCATCTTTTTTATTACACTATGTTATGGAAATGCTTGTTTTATTCCATAAATTAAAAATAAAATAAATAAAAAATAAAGTGCTTAGCACAGTGCCTGGCATGAAATAGGAGCTATACAAAGGCTTGTTCCCTTCCTTCTTTTCTCCTCCACATGATTTTGTGGCTATTATAAAGTAGGTGCATAGCTCAGCTGCCTATGTCTTCTAGTTTATCAGGTACAGTGCTCCCCTTATGATAGGAAATGTAGAATACAGCTTCCTAAGTGAAGACGTACTGGTCATGCCTATTATTTCCTCTGAGTCTTTACTAAATGATCATGGGTCCTCCTGCACTGAGTGGATGTCCCCAACAAAATAACCTGCAATATGATGGGGAAAGACATAGAGGGACTGTTAACACCTAATAATTTCTAAAGGACTTGCTGTATTTTATGGGTCAAAACAATAGCTCTTTACAAAATTTGTCATGGCATTGAATTTTGTTGAAATCATTAAATATGCTAGTTTTATGTATTATAAATTGCATTGGGCTAAATCATTTAATCCCTGTACATGCCTACAATCTTTGTAATTCACAATTCATACAGCATGGTCAGCTGATCATGTAGCACTCTCAAGTTTAAAAAATAAATTTCAGGAACAATCACGCAGGCTAGCATCTGCTCTGGACCCTGTGGGAGTGAAACATTGCTGATGAACAGATGGGTATCACATCATCTTTGTATGGCTCATCCCAGGTGCAATTGCCTCAATGTAGCCTTCCCTGAACCTCTGATGAGCGTGTTCTCTTTCTCTTCAAACATTCCCATAGCATCATGTCTCTTTGCCCTGGGCCTGTACCTGACCTTATGTTATATTTACTTGAGTATATGGCACAGTTCTTTTCTTCTTCCCCCATGAGGAACATGCAAGCTTCCTGAGGACAGAGACTAGATAATTTAATTATATATTGATAGCATCTAGTACAGTGCTTTCTACCTCTTTGTCATTCAGTAAGTATCTGTTTATTTGAATTAATGTAAATATTTACCAGTGCACAGAACATTCCTGTTCTGATTTCCAACAAGGAAGCAGGTACATTAGTGAATTAATCAATCAATCAAATAATCAGGGTTTTTTTTTAAGAACCTACCAGGTGCCTGGCATTGTTCAAGGTTCTGGGGTAAAAATGTCAAAAATAAAACATCTCCCTTCACGAAGAAGTTACATGTATACATATAAGCATATACAAAATAAATACAAGGTTAATTTTGAGAGAGAGACAGAGAGAGAGACAGAGAGAGAGAGAGAGAGAGAGAGAGAAGCATTAGCAGATTAGCAATTAGGCCTATAAGGGAAGCCTGTAGGAGGTGGCATCTGAGCTGAGTGTAGGTAAGGAGGGTTTACATTCCCAACATAAGGAAAAGAGCCTGTGCAAAGACTCAGAGATGGGAGGTACAGAACTGTGTGTTGGAAATGTCACAAAATGACAAAGGTACCATGTGTTAAACTGACTTTGCATAAATTATTACTCTTTCTGGGGAAAGCGATTATTTGTAAAACAAACTTTTGGCCTTGTAATAGGAGCTTCTATTTCTGGCATTTATTATAGGAGGCAAAAAAAAGGCTGAAAGAAATGGAATTAGCTTGAGTACCCAGAGACCTTGGTTCTAATTCTTTCTCTGCCATTTATACCACCTAAGCCAAGACACTCCTTTCTAGGTTCCAGTTTCCTTAACTGTAAAATGAATGGATTATCTAAGGGATCTTAAGTTTATCTTCCAGTTCCAAAATTTTGCATCTTAAGAAAATGAAGAGATCAAAATGGTTAAATGTTTTAAAAGGAAGGATGCTATTTTGTACTCTGGGAAAGGAGGACATGCATGTAAATTGATTTCATAAAGGAAAATGTATCAAAAGGTAGTCTAGATGGCTTATGTTTTATCTTAGAAAAATCATATTACTTCCAATTTTTGCTGAGTGTGTGTGTGTGTGTGTGTGTGTGTGTGTGTATCCATCCCTGTAGCTGGGCACAGAAGCCTATGTACTGTTCCTTTTTTCTCCCCCAGATGGCAGTGTAGGCTTCCAGGACCAGGATGCTCAGTGCTCTTGGAAGACAATATAAGCTTGTCTCTGGCAGGTTTATGTGCCATGTTTCTTCCTTTCAGGGGAAATATGCTACAATTCTAATGTAACAAGACTTGTGTAATCAGGGACAAATAGCTCATTCCAAGACTAACACAGCAGCTATCTGCTTCTGGTTGCATATGCAGGATCAAATCCAATAAATACCAAGTAAAACAATTACTTACATCAGAGCCATCTAATAAAATACAGCAAGTCCTTTAGAAATTATTAGGTGTTAACAGTCCCTCTATGTCTTTCCCCATCATATTGCAGGTTATTTTGTTGGGGACATCCACTCAATGCAGGAGGACCCATGATCATTTAGTAAAGACTCAAAGGAAATGATAGGCATGACCAGTACGTCTTCACTTAGGAAGCTGTATTCTACATTTCCTATCATAAGTGGAATGAACCTTGTAGATGAGGCATTCAGATATCAATTTCAAATAGTTTTCAGGAAAAGAAATAACCATGAGGTAGCTAGGGGGTGCAGTGGAGAGACCACTGGCCCTGGAGTCAGGAGGACCTGAGTTCAAATTCGGCCTCAGACACATAACACTTAATAGCTGTGTGATTCAAGGCAAGTCACTTAATCCCAATTTCCTTGCCAAAAAAAAAAATAATAATAACCAGACAAATGGTCAAATCCTATCTCCCTGAAATAAAGGGAAATCCATGATTATCCAAAAGAATGTTGTGATCAAACTCCATGTGTGCTCTAGGCAGAAAAAAGTCATGTTCAACAGACTCAAAATATTGTATTAATAAAATTTACTTCAGCAGAGATGTGTTGAGAAGCTGTTGCACACAAAGTAACATGGCCAATACAAGATGCAAAGCTAAGTTTATGTAATCATGACCACTGCATTTATGGACTTTCAAGTCTATTTGTGGGACATGGCATATATAAAAAATGTCATGGTGCAAAATTATACTTGACAAGTACGCAAGAAAGATACAAAGATCTATGGGAGATTCAAGGAAGGAAACAATCATTATAATAAAGTAGGTCAGAAGAGATCATGGAGGAAGCTTCATTGGGGTTGACCTTTAAAGTATGAATAGAAATTCAACAGACACATTTTTTGGGGGTAAAAGTAAGACATTCAAGGTATTGTGAAAAGGATGAGCAAGCTTTTTTTTTTTTTTTTTTTTTTGGTCCCGGCACCAGGAGGAAGATGACGAAGAGGACATCTTCATTTGGTAAGCGCCAGAATAAGATGCACACTTTGTGCTGTCATTGCGGTTCTAAGGCATACCATATTCAGAAGTCAACATGTGGCAAATGTGGATATCCTGCTAAATGCAAGAGAAAGCATAATTGGAGTGCAAAGGCTAAGCAACGCAACACCACTGGTACTGGTCGAATGAGGCACCTAAAAATTGTCTATCACCGATTCAGAAATGGATTCCGTGAAAGAACAATACCTAAACCCATGAGAGCAGCTGTTGCAGCATCTAGTTCATCTTGAGGATTCAACTGTTTGTTAAAATAAATGTCCTGAATGAAAAAAGTAAAAAAAAAAAAAAAGCACGAGCAAAGTCACAAAGGTGAGCAAATATGAGTAAATGACAAGAAGTCTATGTGGGCTGAAACATGGAAAATGTCACAGGCAATAGAAATATAGAGTGGTACCAAACTGTAAGGGGCTTGGATTTCAATGCCAAGAAATTTGAACTTTATTGAGTAGATGGACAGATAAGTAGACAGACAGATAAAATGTATGAATACATCATTTGTTAAGAATCTAAACTTTGCTAGACACTGTGCAAAGTCCTTGGGATATACATACAAGTGATACATTCCCTACCTTCAAGTAGCCTTGTATTCTAATGAGGGAGAGGAAAAGCACATACAGGGATGCTGGAAAACAATTGATTTTCCAACCTCATTATTCAGCTGAAACTGTTTTCTCTAAACTTACCAGTGATCTCTTAATTGCTAAATCTAATTGACCTTTCTCAGTCCTCATCCTTCTCTGCAGTCCTTCATACTGTCAGTTGCCATCTCCTTTACCATCTCTTTCCTCTCCAGGTTTTCATTACACCACTTGCTCTTTCCTGGTTCTCTTAACTGTCTGATCACTACTTATCAATCTGTTTTGCTGGACATTCATGCAGGTCACACCCAGTATCTGTGGTTTTTTCATAAAACTCTGTTCTGACTTCTTTTCTCTTTTCCCTTTACACTATATCATTTGGTTATCTGATCATCTCTCCTAGGTTTAATCTTCATTTGCATGTGGAAGATTTCCAAAATTATACACCAAACTCTAATCTCTCTCCCAAGCTCCTCTCCTGCATCACCAACCAATTTTTAGACATTTTAAAAAGGATGTCCCATCAGTATCTCAAACTTAATATACACAAAACAAAACTCATCATTTTCCCTGAACTTTGCCTTCTTCCCAACTTTATTATTACCTTTCCTACTACTCTTTTTGAAAGTATTTTATTTTTTCCAATTACATATAAAGAAGATTTTTAACATTTGTTTTTTTAAAAAATTGAGTTCCAAATTTTCTCCCTCCCTCTCTCAGAACCCCTTCCCTAAGACAGTAAGCAACTTGATATGTTATGTATGTGCAAGCATATGAAATATATTTCCTTGTTAGTCATATTGTAAAAGAAGAAACAGGATAAAAGAAAAGAACCACTAAAATAATGAAAGTGAAAATAGTATGTTTTGATCTGCATTCTGACTCTAAAAGTTCTTGCTCTGGATGTGGATAGCATTTTCCATCTTAGTCCTTTGGAATTGTCTTGGATTGCTAGGAAGAGCTAAGTCATTCATAATTAATCATTGCATAATGTTGCTGATACTATGTACAATGTTCTCCTAGTTCTGTTCATTTCACTTTGTATCAGTTCATGTAAACCTTCCATTTTCTACTACTTTTGAGCATATCATCTTCCCAGTTACTAAGGCTTTTAACACTGGCATTATCCTTAAAAATTCAGTCTCACTCATCTCCTTTCCCTCTTAACAAGTCTTGTTTCTAACTTCCCAGCATCTTGTGTAACTTTCTTCTCTCAAGTTACATAACTACCACCCTAGAATATGTCCCTATCATCTCTCACCTTGACTACTGCAATAACCTTCTAATTGGTTTCCCTTCTGCAAGTCCCCCCCTTCCCAATTCAGGCTCCATTCAGCTGCAAAAGTGATTTTCCAAAACTGTAGGTCTAACCATGCCATCTGTCTGAATATATTCCAGGGGCTTTCAATTATCTACAGGATGAACTGTCAGACTCTGGCATTTAATCTATCTACAAGCTCATTTCTTATTATCTTTCCAATCTTCTTAAACTTTACTCCCCTCCATGAACTCTAAAATTCAACTACAATCATCTACTTACCAATGTCACACATGACACTCCATTTCTCAGCTCTCTCTTTACAATGGCTATCCCCCATTCCTAGAACTCTCCTCCATCCCCTATTCTGATGACTGACCTCCTCTACTTCCTCTAAGTCCAACTAAAACCCCACCTTCTTTAGGAAGCCTTCCACAATTCCTCAATTTCAATAACTTCCCCCTGTTAATTATTCCCTATTTATCCTGTATATAGCTTGCTTTGTTTATGTTTGTTTGCATGTTGTCTCCCCCATTAGACTGTAATGAGGGCAAGGACTATTTTTTGCCTCTTCTTGCATCCCCATCACTTAGCACAGTGCCTGTCATGTTGTAAGCACTTAATAAATGTTTACTGATTGAGTGATTGTTCTTCTTTCCCACTTCTACCTATTATCTTCTAGAACATCCTTTAAGGCACAGCTCAAATTTTACCTTTTACTTGAGGTCTTTCATGGTCCCTCCTCCTCCCCACTGCATTCCTTCTGAGATGATCTTCCACCAGCACTTTATGTATCCTATTTGTACATAGTTATTTGCATATTGCCTCTCCCACTAGAATGTGATCATGGTTTTTGCCTTTCTTTGTATACCTAGTGCTTAGCATAGTGCCTGGCATATGCAGAGTGCATAAAATACTTGTTGACTGAGTGACTACAATCCATCTTGTCATTATTATTAAAGATTAAAGTACATAGTATCATTATTTCTCATTCTGGGATTTCTTTTTGTTATTCTCTTAACTCATAGTTTCCATTCCAACCCCATATCAGTACTTTGCTGCTATTTACTCATGTTTTCAGCCTAACTTCTTGGGATGGGACTTTGTGCCAGGTTCAGGCTCTGAATCCTTTAATTTTGGATGGGATGGTTAGACATCGGACTGATCTTGCACTGCAGTCCCTGAGTTGGAAGTTACTGTTGGTACTGAGACTTGGTCTTGCCCCCATTGCCATCTGGATGCCACTGCCCTGCCACTGTTGTTGTTGGGGTGATAGTTCCTGGTCTTATCTCTCCTACTGTGTCCTACCTGACTAAAAAGCTGCCTGGGACCAGGCCCTATAGGTAAGCTACTTTTTCAAGATGTTTGGCCATAATTGGTAGAAGGGAGCTGTAAGGTGGTTAAAGATATAGTATAATATAGATACAGTATAGAAGATTCAAGGGAACTCCTACACAGAGGTTTTTTTTTTTTTTTTTTTTTTGTCTTTCATGAGGTCTGCACATTTTTATTGGCAGAATTAAAGGATCAGTTGGGAAGGAAGATATTGGAAACCCTAGAGGTAACTAGGGAGTACAATGGATGGAATATTGGGCCTGGAGTCAAATCTGGCCTCAGAAATGTGCAAGCTGTATGGTCCTGGATAAGTCACCTAACTTCTCTCTGCCTCAATTTCTTCAACCATAGAATGGGGATAATAATAACACCTACCCCATAAAGTGGTTGTGAATGTCAAATAATACAATATTTGTAAAGTGCTTGCCATAGTGCCTGACCCATAGCAGGGTCTTCATAAAGGCTTCTCCTACCTGCTCTTTATAAGATGAATAGTTATCATATAATGCTTTAAAGTTTGCAAAATGTTTTACAATTATTAAGTCATTTAATGGCTCACAACCATCCTGTGAGGTAGGTATACTTGTTACCCCCATTTTACAGATGAAGAAACTGAGACAAACAGAAATGAAGTAATTTGCTTAGGGTCACACACTCTGTAAATGTCTGAAGCCATATTTGAACTTCGTTCTTCCTGCCACCTGTGCTGAATTGGGTGTGAGGTGTGGGGAGAAACACAGAGAGACACATTACTAGGGTAAGTGAGGAGAAAGAAATATTAAGACAGGGAGACGGAGGCAGACATACAGGCACAGACACAGAGACATTGAGATGAAGAAGTAGCAACAGTGCCACAGAGACAGAAAGGAAGATAGAGAAAGAGAGAGGCAGAGACAGAGATGGAGAGACATGGACAGAAAGAGGAAAAATAGAGACAGTCTGACCAATTTTGATTGGTGAAGCATGCTACTAAATTTAGAGTGAAAAAGATTGAAGAAACAGATTCAAGCCCTTCCTCTGATAGACATAGGCTATGTGACTCTGGATAAGTCACTTAACTTCCTGATATCTCAGGTACTCCCTAAAAATATAATTGAATAAACAAATATTTATATAATTGTTGAATTGAATGGAATACACACCAATTTTTTTTCTTGCTTTTCAATACTTTCAAAACCTTCAACTGTCCAGTCAACTGAAAAGCTCAGGATTTGCCCATAATTCCAATTCACAAAAAGTTTGACAAATGTGTATTTTGTTCATAAAAAGTACAACATACTAAATTAAATATATTATCTTACATATAATATATTATGTAATATATTATATATAATATTCTAGACAAGAAAGAACAGAGTTACCTTTCAAAATGATTCTTATGTATTTCAGTACTTCAGTCTCCCAACCTTCCACCACCCAGCTTCCCCACTAAGGGTGCCTGGGATTGCTATATAGGGTAAACTTCAAGAGATTTATAATAATCCAACCTTGAAATTACCTTTTCTGTTTAGCTGAACTGTTCCAGGAAGCACTCTGGGAGAACAAAGACATTTCTCTTTAAAATTATGTCAGCCCATCAGAGGAATCTGATATCTACTACCACCTCTTCACAAGTGAAAACTTAGGAAATGAATCTTTTCTTCTCCCTTAACACGTTTCTGCTGCTAATAGCTACAGAGACATAGTATTGATATGCAAGCCATAGAAGGCTGAAGTATGGTAACCAAATCACAAAGAGAGACACGAACCTCCCAGGCTATAGATATTTAATGTGCCCATAGTTATGCTTATACAAAGTGAATCCCTTGGTTACTCATTTTCCTAAAAATTCAAATGGCATCAAAAAACCAGATCTTATCCAGAATATGCTCTAAAGCACTTAACATAGTCTGGTAGAAATATATCCAATTTCTTGAAAAAGGAAAAATTTGTTTAAGAAAACAGTTGCAAACTGAGAAGTAGCCAAAAAAGAATTGATTTTTAGGAACCAATTCTGAAATGATTTATTTAATATTGTTATTTGAAAGTTAAAGAATTAAAAAGCATTATCTTTGGAAATGGTATTCATATGCCTTCTTATAGCATAAGGAATGT